GGTCTTAGGTGCTAGGGTGGAGTCCCAACTCAGGGACAGTGGGCCCCAGGCTGGAGCCCTTCCGCCTGCTCAGACCTGGGGCCCTCCTCCAGGGGATCGGGTGGTCTCCATTCACAACTGTCATGTCCTGGCCCCGAGTCAGCCCTGCTGCTCTGCTTCCTTCTGAAACTCCACAGCCCTGACTTCCAGGCCCCTGCGGTCAAGCTGACCAAGGACCAGGGTGTGGGCAACCCAGTTCTCAGAGGCAGTCTCTGTGTGCCCCCCTGGGTAGGGAGGACAGCACAGTGGACGGCAGGTGGGGGCAGAGCCAGGAAGCACCTCACCTGGCCCTAGGTGGTAGGGCAGAGATGGGGCCGATGCTAGGAGGGTGGAAGTCCTGTCGGGGTACGGGGATACAGGAAACTGTAGAGTTACACTTGGGGGCCAGCTCCACTTTTCTAAGACTCCCCACTATTGTACATGTGGCTTGGGGTGAGGGGGGGTCCTTTGGCTCCTGACAAAGCTGCCTCAGCCCCCACGGTAGCCCTGCTGCCCTGGTGGGACTCGACGGGCTCAGCTTTCTGGTCTCCCGTCCCCTCCATGGTTTTGAGCCTGCTCTGCTGGAGGCCACCCAGCCCAGCCAGCTGCTACCCTTCCTCCCTGGTCAGCCTGGGCCCTGGGTGGGTGTGGGCGGGGGCAGGGCCGACCCCGCCCACAGGGCTGTAGCTCCTTCCCCTCCCTCATGTCTTCCTGGGCAGAGCTTCCTCTCCTCCCAATAGGCTCCATATGGTGACTTTTCAGGAAAGGGCTCCCACCCCCTGGTGGCCACAGTGAGCCTTTCTCCTCCTCCAGCTCCTGGGGTGTCCTGGGCAGTGGCTTTGGAACAAGAACCCGGACCGATATTGGCTGTGCCCTGCCTGGGGAGGCGAGCGGCTGGTGTGGGCGCGGGAGCCCCAGAGGCCCATGAATGAGGGCACCTGCGGGAGCAGGAAACTGTGAAATGGGCTATTAATAGAGTCCTCTTCCCTACAGGACTGTCAAATGTGATTAATGCCACCGTTGTGAGCTGACTGCCACACACCACCAGCTGCAGATGGCCGCTCTGGGAGGGACCCTCACTGAGGCTGGACACGGCCCTGGCTGGCCCTGAGGACCCCGGGGGTCCTGCTGGGCTGGCAGAGGAAGGCCTGGAGTTGGGGCCCTAGGGGCTGAAGACACCAGGCACCCTGAGTAGGCTGGCTTAGGTGGATCCTAGGGCCCACCTGCAGAAGCAGGGGCTTCTCTTTGGGGAGGTGCTGAGCACCAGACACCCCAGCCTCAGAGCATGTCTGTCCTTTTGCTGTCACTGCAACGGCTTGGCGTGTCACTGACTGAGCTCCTGACACGTAGCACCTTCTGTGCAGCTGGACAGCTTTGGGTAACTGACTATCACGGACCCTTCTGTGTGTCACTCACTCCCTGTGGAGTGACAGAAGGAAGACCCTGGCTGGACCTTTCTTTGGGTTCAGTGGGCAGCTACTGCCGTCCTCCCTGACCGCAGTCCAGGGCCAGGCCATACGAGTCCCCAGGAACCTCTGTGGTAGGTAGAAGGTGGACACTCAGGCCCAGGGACTGGTCAGTGTGGCAGATGGAGCATGGCTGGCCTTCGAGAGCCCATTCCTACTCTCTAGCAGGCTCGCTGTCTCTGACCCCAGGGGTCCAGGTGCATATAGCCTTGGAGAGGGTGGTGACCAGAGGCCACCTGAGTGGGCAGAACCAAGTGTGGCAGGCCCACCCTTAGGGCCCTCTTCTTGAAGAGCCAGCAATGCCATGGGTCAGACCCTACTGCCCACAAAACTCCC